CATCTTGTTTGCAAGCTACCTGTACCATTTAATTGCATTTATCGCGCAGGAATCCATAGTTGCCATTGCTAGGGTTTCTGAGATGTTTTTAGGGCTTTGTTATACAGGAACAATTAGGCCAAGAAAATGATACCATGATACTCATGAGGCCAAAATGAGTTGATTGGTATCATCACAATTGATTTATTATGCTTGTATGGAATTTTTGAAATTTGCAGAGGCTGTAGTGACAGCAAACGTCCGTATGTAAAAGTTCTTCAACTAAGACGACGGTTGCAGTGAAGAAGGTGATGCGTGGCAGCCCATGAATGGCTGATTTGAATTTTGCGCGCATTTTTCTGAATCCATTGTTTATTTTTCTTATTATGCTTTGTTTCTATTATATGAACAAATATAATGGTAGCGCAGCTGGCAAAGCACCACTGGAGGCGAGCATAAGGACCTGGGTTCGGTCCCAGGTCCCAACATTTTCTTTCTATTGTTTTTTATCATATGGTCAGGTGTACCACATTATCAGATCCAGCACACCTCACCTTCTGAGGATCATCACACGCCCTCTGATCTCGTCCTCTGGATCCATCTCCAGCCAGATCCAGCACACCTCACCTTTTGAGGATCATCACATGCCCTCTGATCTCGTCCTCTGGATCCATCTCCAACCAGATCCAGCACACCTCACCTTCTAAGGATCATCACACGCCCTCTGATCTCATCCTCTAGATCCACCTCCATCCATATCCAGCGCACCTCACCTTCTAAGGATCATCACGCGCCCTCTGATCTCATCCTATGAATTCACCAGACCCAACACACCTCACCTTCTGAGGATCATCACGTGCCCTCTGATCTCATCCTCTATATCCATCTCCAGCCAGATCCAACGCTAGCATACACAGGTCCACCATGAGTCCCCAGAAGATGGTCTCATTGGATCAGGCGCCAGACTCTGGGCCATCCTTCTGGGTTTCAGAAGTTCAGCATACACCCCCCAGATTTGCTAACAGCAGGCCCATTTGGTTATTTCTAATATTCTTTCTTTAATTTCTTTTCTTTAATTATTTTGTTTTTTTTAATCAATACAAAAATTATTTTATTAAGTTAACAATTCAAAAAAATCACAAAAAGACTTATTTTCTTAATAAATATTATTTTTAATTAATTAGTTTAATTAATTTAGGGCAACTTTAATTTCTTTCATAATTAAAAGCAATTAGAAATTAGGTTTAATTAATTTGTGATTTAATTGTTTTCTCAAATAAAAATCCAAAAAAAAAAATCTTTATCTCAATTAGGGTTTTAAGTTATTAATTACCGTCCTCGTATTTAATTTGCCGCGCACTTGTTAATTATTTTTTCCATTATTTTGTAACTGTTCAGGGTTTGTAATAGTTAAATTAGGGTTTTATTTCTTGCTTTAAATTCCCGATTTTTGGTTATGTAATTAATCCCCCTCCCCGAAGCCTTGTAATAGCTAGGTTTTACTTCCTCGCACTTTTAATTTTCGTAATCTTTAACTGTTAGATGTATGGCTAATAGGATTGTATGGCAAGAATGCATGAAAAATTAAAACAGTTAGAAAACCCTAATGTGAAAAGATTAAAATAACTGAAACAAATCACTCGCACATGCTCACTCTTAGGGTATACTCTCACTCTGGTTGCCTTCGGTAAACAGTCATGAAGCATATGATGTTTTAGTGGCTATCCTCTATGTCCCAAAAGATCAAAAAAATGACCCTTTCGACTGTTGCCTCGGAAAAGATCTTTAGGACTCTAGGATGGTTACTAAGGTGTCCTAACATTGCTTTCGTGACTGTACGTCCCTTTCGAATGTCCCTTATAACTCCAACGATGGTGCTACCTACTCCTTAATAGTAGTGTAGCGCTGTCAAAAGGATATAGAACAAAAACGATCTATTTTCGAGTAGGTAGATGCTAGTAGGTACTTGCTCAAAACAAATCTTTTCACACAAACACCTTTCAAAACAGTTTCAAAACAACTTCGTCACATCCTTGAGGACTAATACAAGGGTTATCACGAAGTAAAATGTTTTCAAGACAAACACACACAAGAAATTTGAAAAATGAGCAAGTACTTAAGAGCTCGTAGATAACTACGGATAGAAAGGATGATAACACCTTCCCTTTCTATAATCTACCCCCGTACTCAGAATATCTCGAAAAAAGGTTTTTTCTGTTCTTTTTCCTTTTCTAAGATTGGATGAAATAAAAGTCGATGGCGAATCTTTCTTACCGTGACATTTTGCGAACAAAAAACGCAAAACGCAAACCAGTATTAAACAGTCGGTTCTGCCACCGTATCACAATTGGTCATGTAATCCAGACCGATAGATTCATGGACAACCAAAGCGTTAGTCGAAGACTTCGCTTGGTCCTTTTCAGACAAAGGTGTGATTACAGGAATGGGTTTACCTTTTTCATCAAGTTTTTTCTTTCTATCCAAGGGCCTAGAAAAATGATGAACGGGAAAAAAAAAACTCTGAAAATGTTGTAGCATCTGCACCAGGGTCAGGCAAAAGACCCATGAATGCGTGCATTTCACCAGAAATGGTCAAGGGTATAAGTACCTGAGATTCATAAATTTTTGTCTTCTCTTCAAGGAGGGGAGACTCTGAGACATATTCTTGGTTCCCTAATTGTGTGGGTTTACCAATCTGAACAATGGGCTAAGAAGCATCTTGTTGTTGTTGTTGTTGCTTAGAAGATTTTGTTATTTTAGGCGCCACTGTTAAGTCTTGAGGTTGATAGCTTGAAGATTGTTGAAGGTTGAAAAAGAAGCATTGAGAAATGTTTTGGTTTAGAAAAGTTTGGAGTGTGAAAAGTGTTGAATGTTGAAGGTTGTTGGTATTTATAGAAATACAACAAGCCATTTCATATTGCATTTAAATGATGAATGCAAAGTGAGTGGGGCACGTGGAGCTCTCTGACTGGGAGAAAAAATTATTGCACAAGTTACCACCTCACTCCTAGTTTATAGGAGTAATCATCATTAGAAGCTACGCACGTCTTGGTGAGGCGTTTGGGGAAGTGGTCATTATGACGATGACGTCACAACAATGTTGGCATTAGCGTCGAAAAAGTCTTTCAAAAAATGTCATTTTCTAAAGTTGTCGAAAAGAAACATTTTTGGGGGGCAATTTCTTAGATGTAATTTCGACGCTCTAACGAATAGAGGTTCGAGGAGAATTAGAAAGACAAGTGTTAGGATGATAAAAGCTAATTTCGATATGAAGTGATATAAGACACATTTTTGACCGAGTCTACACGGACGAAGCAATGTAAGGAAAATAACTTAGCAAATTTTCTGAAGATACTCAAAGTGGGTTTGACAGATATTCAAATGAAGCTATAATTGATTTTTGTGCTTATCTGATATTTGAAAAGGAGATACGTGGAAGCATGCGAAAGGCTAGAGACATGCAAACAAGGACGTGTCATCCTCTAAGAAGAAGACTGTTTGTTACAGTTAGTTTTGAATTATTATATAGGAGTTTTATGTTAGAATTTCGTGTGTTCACTTATTTGTACAAATTACTCAAAAATAACTCAAAGTACAAAGTGTTTGAGAAATGAGTTGCTGAGAATGTACGTATGAAACACCGATTTTATATTCAATGTTATTCCTTTTCAAATGAAGTCCTTTACATTCCCTTTAAGTTTAAATTGAAGTTGCTTTACATTCCAATTTTTACTTTAAATTGTTTTATTACTACTTTCGAAGCAACAATCTCTATCAAAGAGATTGACACCCAGAAAACTTAGAAAACAAAATATACACTATCGTCCAATGATCAATATAGTTGATCATGTTAGCAACAATAGTCTCTAGGATTCAGAAGACTAGCGCTTGTTTACCAAATTTCAAGGTAGACAGGAAGGCAATGGATTCTTCAGTGTTGATTCTGACAACATGTGCTTAGCTTCTGACCTTGTGATGCCCATAGAGTTCAAGACTCATGAGTTCGAGAAATACAAGGGGTATACATGTCCTAGAAGTCATTTGATCATGTACTTCAGAAAGATGGCTGCATATACTAACAATAAGAAATTGTTTATTCATTTCTTTCAAGACAGTGTGACTGGTGCTTCGCTCAAATGATATATAGTACTCGAAAAAAACTGTTGTCATACCCCAAATTTGTCCTACCCTTTCATTTTTGTCATTTGACTTATGCATCTCACATTTTTCATATGCATTACCTCTCATTTAGGTCATGTAACATTTCATGCATCCACTAACAGCAAGGCTTGACATTGGGTCAATGGTCAGAAGATTAGGCTCGACCTATACACTAGAGTTTCATCTTTCTGCAGGCTTATTTCAATTGAGGATACAAAGATCATGGCTTAAAGTTTATCTCTTATGCTAAGTATTATTAGATGAATTTTTAAAGGTTGTGTATCATCTAAAGTTCCATTCTTTACACTTTTGTCTTATTCATCATCTTATGTGCAAGTTATTGAAGAGATCTTGGGGATATACATGGGTTTAGACGAGAGAAGAGACAAGTGGATCTACCTCACCAATTAGAGTTTGTGAATACTTAGTGCAAGGCATTTCATATGGGCAATTGGCTTGTGGTACAATCTATATCTTTTATGGACTTCATTCAATTATCTCAAGTTAAAGCCTAAATTTTCATGGGTCAAAAGGCTGAGGTGCAAGGCATTTCATTCAATTCATTCATGTAACATATGAAAAAGTATTGTACATTGTGAAACCATGGAAACTTAAAAATATATTTTGAAAAGAAAATATTACTTTAATTGCTTAAGGTCTATCACTTGATCTCGAAAGTATTACAAGGTTCCAGAATCATCAAATACATCACAAATTCTAATCATTACAAGTGATCCACGTGATGACATTTACACCAAGAATCACAAAGAAAGTTACATGAAAAGCCTAATCTTCCATAAATCTGATGTCCTAAGCATCTTAATGCCTAAGCCTTCCATTCTACATTTTTCAAGTTTTCTTCATGTCCATATTTTAAAACTCCTTGCCTTCAAGATTTCCACCATGCTCCATTTGCAAACTTTGCTTCCATCTTCCTTACCAAGATCTGTCCAAAAACATTGCTAAAATCTGCCCCAAAACATTGCCAAATAAGTCCTTACACATTCCAAGCAATTCGAAAGACCAAGAATCTACATACATATCAAACCATACCATTCTTTTAATAGAAGAAAAAATCAGAAGCAATCCAAACACATTAATCCAAATAGCCCTGCACGTATTGATTAACACTTTACATTAAAACCAGTTGACATCAGTTCACTAAACCATTCACATATCAAAACAGTCACAAACAGTTTCAGTCCTAGTATAACCTATATCCAAATAAACAGCCCTGCAGTAAAGCTAACAATTCAGAAATAATATAAATTCACATCAATATAACTCACACATATAATTTCCAATACATATAAACCTGCATATTCAAGCCAAAGGTGGTACACATTCAAACAGTCGTATCCTATCTCACAACAGACCAAGACTAACTAAAGCCTAAGCTTCCTACTGTTTGTTGTTGAAGACCAGAAACCGAACCTTTCACATAGCATAAAACCAGCCAATCATTCAAGCTCAACCAGGCCTTGCCAAAAGCTTGCATTCAGCATAAAAGAAATCAGGAGCTAACTAACAAATCTTGTTTCTAACAATTTTTTAGCATTCATTAATTTCTTTCTAACAGTTTTAAACTAACTTCATGTCCTTTAACCTCTACATGTAACGGAAAATCAAAGCAAGCTAACCTCCTAATTGATTTCTCACTCAATCCCTCAACTCATTTAACTATTTCCTAACCGAATTAATAATAGAATTCCACCAGCTATAACTAACTTTCAAATTCACATAACTAAACTTCAAGTGATTTGATCCTCACCCTGCATTGCTTGCAACTAACTCCCGATGCAATGGCTCTGATTTTTGCATATGTAACTAACTCTTCACACTATAACCAACCATATAAAGCCGATTTCCCCTTTAATCTAGGGAGGAGGATTCTTTTTTTACCAGATTTTTCATCACTCGCCTTCATTCTTCTTTCTCTCTCCATCTTCATATTCAACCCTTCACTCTCACTTCCTCCATTCACGATCATTCTGCAAGAACTCACCATCAATCTCAAACTTCTCTCTGCAAATTTCTTTCTCTCTGCATAAAACCTCACACCATAACCAGCACCCTCAAAATAGTTCCACTCTAATTTTCACACAACAATAATGCACACAACTTCATCACTTCTTCTTCGCATCGCACACACCTTCATCATCGCTTCTTCGCATAGCACCACAACAATGTCACTGCAAACTTCATCATGGTGGTCAGAGGAGATTGGGTGACGGTGACAGTGACATCGACTCTTCTCGCTGGAAATCGCCAGATAGAATGATGAGAGAGAATGTTGTCAAGGTTTTGGAAGCTGAAGCATCATAAAACTCGGTACAAAACTATGTGTTTTACAATTTCTTTTTATTCTTTAATTTTTTTTAATTCAATAAAATCAGAATAGTAACTGTTAATGGGCCGATGAAAGATTCACTGGGCTTACTGCACACACACATCCACCTCAGAGGCATGCTACACGATTTTTTTGATATACTAGGCCTTCTGTAACAAAAACAGCTTCTGGATCTTTTTTTTATTTGGGCTTGAACTTGCATATTGCTGGATACATCCCTTGCTTGCTGCTTGCACCCCATGGCTTACTTTGTTGCATTTTGTATAAATTTTAATTATTTCGATTTTATTTTTTCTTCATCATGATAAAAACACAAAAAGATAAAAGAATAAAATTTTTTGTTTGATGACTTGTTGCTTGCTTGTGTGATTCATGCTCCCTTAGGATTTTTAGTTCAATTTTAATCTTTCAATTAAATTGAATTGATTATACTTTAGGCTTTTAAATCCAAGCATGATGACATTAGATAGAATTTTCTTTCAACCCTAACTTTAGGGCCACCATTGTATGACAATATTATGATTAGTTCCCCTTAGTCCTTTTCTTCTCTTTGCGTTGCATCTTGTAAAACTATTTTTTTTTTCAAACTTCAAAACACTTAATAAATAAATGATGATAATCAAACTTCCACGAGTCCTAAGCAATGGGAGTGATAAGTGGGTTTCTTCCCAGCCTTATCATTCTTAGTCTTTTGTGTGGTTCAAATCTCAAGACTATTTTCATTAATAAGTGGAAAAATGGTTAATAGCTCTCTTTTGAGGTTAATTAGCTATTATTCACAGCAAAATACAAACCAATTAAACGTGGCATCTTTGCCTTGGGGCGTAACTCAAAATATTTTCAAAAGGTTTTGTCACCCAGAAAAAACATAAAACAAACCAAAACTTTTGATCTAAACTACGATGCTCTGACTCCTTAAAAAGGATACATAGGCATTAGGTTGCAGGGACTAAGCGAGCACAACTATTTAAAACTTTTAGTTTCCCTGTATTTTTCTTAAGCGATTCATGCATGCATTTCCCTTAGCAAGTAAGCATTAGATATAACACACCCTTTGATTAGAACAACAAGAGTGGATCTCGTGGAGTACCACGGACATGAGGGGTGCTAATATCTTCCCCTCGCGTAACTGACTTTCACATCCTTTCTCTTGATCGCAAGATCATCTTATCCTTCCTTTTGGGATTTTCTCAATACTTTCCCTTCCTTCGGGATAAATAAAGTTCAATGACGACTTTGTGTTTTTTCGCGGTGTGACAACTGTATTCAGTGCTTCCAAGACCTAGCTGATGCCTTAATGAAGCAATATAAGTACAAACTTGACATGTCTCCTGACATTCTTCAATTGTAGAACATGTATCAGAATGAGAGAGAATATTTCAAAGGGTACGCTCAATGTTGGAGAGAATTGGCCTCTCAAGTTGAACCACCTCTAGCTGAGAAAAAGTTTACAAACATGTTTATGGATACCTTATCTCCTTTCTTTTGGGAGAAAATAATTGGTAGTGTGTCATCAAGCTTTACTGATTTGGTAACCATTGGTCAGGCTAGAAGAGGGGATTAAGAAGGGAAAAGTGTCTGTTGCTGGTGAACCTTCAAATGGGGCAAAGAAATCCTTTGGGAATTATAGCGGTAGAAATATTAAGACTAAGCCATTAGATTGACTTGACTTGTATAGATCAAAATAAAAATCACCACCGTGCTTTATTGTTTCCAAAGAAATGGGAAACGAGCTAATAACCCAAAAGAGGGGTAAAGATTCTAGGTAAGGGGGTTGGTTATGCAAAGGGAAGGTATTAGCACCCTAAACATCTATGGTACTCCGTAGGAACCTCTTTGTAAAATCTGTATATTTTGGCTATAAAATATTGTATAAAAAATAGATTGTGGTGATGAGAAAATAAGTATTATTTTTCTTTTAATTTTTGCACCCGCCGTAGTTGCGAACCTTTAGTGCCTATGTACCACCTTCCATGCAATAGGGGATCAGGGTACTCGTAGTTCCTCTTTTAAAAAATTTAAAACACAAGTGTGTTGGTTAATTTTAGGAGACAAGACGTCATTGTCATTATCTGTGTGGAAAACATACTTACTACCCACAATTATGAGAAAGGAGAATTTGCGTTATCTCAAAGTGGAGGATATGACTCGGATTTTAAAATCAACAATGCCTCACTCAACACCCAAGTGGAAAATATATTACTTCACTATATATTATAAAAGTATAGTTGTTTGCATCACTACAAGGATTGACAAGATTCAAATTTTTTTGAGAAAAAGTTTTTTAAAGATAAAAGCCAAAATGGAAAAATAGTTTGAATGATATTCATTGACTTTTAGTCTTCTCACAAAAATGTCAAGGTATTGTTAAGTTGTTTGAAATTTGATTAAGAAATAATTTTTAAAAATACATGGACATAAGTCCAAGTTTATTATGAAAGTGTTCAAGTTTAAAAAACAAGAAGATTTTTCAAAAGGAGAGAGAAGATTTTTGAAATTAAAGAAGATGGGAGGAGATGAAGAGACTACCCTAAAGTATAAGGTAAAAGCTTAAGGAGAAAAACCATCTAACTAAACAAGAAGCGAACACTTGACATAATTAGTCAATGTAGAATTCCATCCTTTAGATTTGAAACCAAGAAAACAATTAATAAATCCCTTAAGAATACCAAACTTCAATTGCATTAAGTCTTCACAAAAATTGGACAAAGTAACGACTGTATACAGGTGAATTCCAGATCACAGACAAAGCATGTAATCACAATGACCTGCACACAAAATAAACAAACAACCCAATGTCTTGGGCTAAACCCCAAGAATTCCAGACAAAATAACAATTGAGGTCACAAGGTCTCAAGGTAGATCAAAGCGTCTAATCCTAAGTCCAAGAAGTTCACAATCTCCATAGTGCCAAGGATAGTAACCAATTAGTCCAAGTAACATTAGAGTTTTTTAGGGTTTAAGTTGATTATTAGGTATCTTTAAGAGGAAACGAAAAGCTCAAGTGAGCAAAATAAAAACGACATGAAGATAAAGGCACGGGTGAGCAAAGATGAAAAGAGTATGAAATGTAAATGCTAAAGTAAATGGTACATAAAGTAAAAGCATAACATAAAAGCATAAAAATAAAGTCAATTATTAGGAATTAGTGGTTAGTTAAATGACCATCTTGAAACTTGCATTTGGAACTCATTAGAGGATTGGTAGAACCAAATCCTCTCAACAACAAGTTGCATTTGCTTTTTGTCAAGTATATCGTCCATTTAAGAATTCTCAAAATAACACTTAATGATCAATGATGTTTAATTGATCCACTTTAACCAAATCTCATGAAGTTCCATTAGAGGATTGGTAGAATCAAAGCCTCCTAACAATGGATCTCAAGGTTATCGGATCAAAGGATTCAAATTAACATACCTGGGCTTGCAAACATAGGTTTGGGCCACGAATGATCATTTTCTAAAATCAGGACAAAATTTAGTGCTATGTTAAGCAATCATAAGTGGACTTATATAGAAGTAGCACCTATTTTGAGGCCGATCAATAGCAATATATGCACCTCATGTTTTGAGACATGATATGTAAATTATGCTCCAGCAACATTTAGTACAATGAGAATGGGATAAGATGAAGAGGGAAGGGGAAATGAATAAACCACATTTGAACCAAAAATCTAATCAAACTATTATTAAAATCATTCATCCAATTTTATGGAGTTAGACTCAACACCATGGATCCAATGATGTTAATAAAGTTCATGATCAAAATTTCAATCCAAGATCAGCCAAAATATATATGGAAATAAAATTGTATTTAAAATAAAAGAATTGGTTTTTAAAAATGATAAAAAAAATGAAAATAAGAGAGAAAAATAGCAACTATGTTCAAATTAATCAAGAAAAATTAAATAAGACCATAGAAAAATCAGAAATGAACTCAAATATTTTTATGAAATTTTTGGTAATTTTTAAAGTCCGAAACTATTTTTAAAATTAAAAGAAATAGACAAAATAAACCAAAAATAAAGAAAAATAGTAAAATCAGAAATAAAAAATAAATGAGGTCACCAATATTTTTCAAAATATCATTGGGTCCTTCCCTATTTTTTTAGAATTTAAAAATGAATAAAGGTATTTTTAAACATTTAAAACAATTCAAATAAAGTGAAAAATTATAAGAAATATCAAAACACAAAATAAAATTGTGAAAAAATAAAAATCAGAAATAGAAAAATCAAAAGTATTTTCTACAATTTTTTCAGATTTTTTGGAGTTAAAATGAATTTTCTATAAACTTTTGAAGTTTAAAACAATTAAATGTAAAAAATCAGAAATAAAATAATAAACCAAAAAAATATGGGCCATCTGATCATTGTCAAAACACGTTAGTAAACAAATCCAGTGGATCTGGTGCGTTGTACGTGTCATGGACTTTATTGGATATCACACCTGATCATTAATTTTTAAAAATAAAACAACTTAAAATGTGGCACGTTGGATGGAGTCTGACTCACTAAAGTAATTAGATCCAAGGGCTTCTGAGGAACGTGCATGGTAAGGCAAGCATACTACACCTGTTTCAAAAAAATAACGTGGCTACATGTCATTGGTTGAAGACAGACATGTTATCATCTTCAACCTCCAGCCAGTCCCAAATCC